CTTAGCACACGTCATTCTAGACTAAATTCAGTACGCTGTACCAAATTTCGTGAAAATCGAATGATTTTCATATAAAATCGGGCGAAACTATTATGGGAGCTATATATAAATCTGACCAGATTTTCAAGAAATTTTTTTTGGGGCACCATTTACCTAAAATCGACCGAAACTATATATGGGACCTATATGTAAATATGAACCGATTTTCACGAAACTTAGCACACGTCATTCTAGAGTTAATTCAGTACGCTGTACCAAATTTTGAGCAAATGAATGATTTTTAGGGACTTTGGTGCACCGTTTACCTAAAATCGGGTGAAACTATATATGGGATCTATATCTAAATCTGAACCGATTTTCGATTTAGCACACATCATTCCAGATTTAATTTAGTACGCTATGCAAAATTTCGTGCAAATCGAAGGATATATAGGGACTTTGGTACACCATCTATATATATTAAATCGGTCGAACATATATATGGCACAATGTCTAAATCTGAACCGATCTTCAAGAAATTTTACACACATCATTCTACACCTAATTCATCACGCTATGCCAAATTTCGCGGAAATCGAATGATATATAGGGACTTTGTTGAACCATTTACATTAAATCGGGCGAAACTATATATGAAAGCTATATCTAAATCTCAACCGATTTTCGCGAAACTATACACACATCATGCTAGACTTATTTCAGTACGCTATGCCAAATTTCGTGCAAATCAAATGATTTTCAGGGACTTGGGTGCACCATTTACCTAAAATCGCGCGAAACTATATATGGGAGCTATATCTAAATCTGACCCGATTTTCGCGAAACTTAGCACACATCATTCTAAACTTACTTCAGTACGCTGTACCAAATTTCGTGCAAATCGAATGATTTTCAGGGACTTTGGTGCACCATATACCTAAAATCGGGCGAAACTATATGGGAGCTACATCTAAATCTGAACCGATTTTTCCCAATTTCAATAGGGTTCGTCCTTGGGCCGAATAAGTGACCTATGCCAAATTTCATCTAGTTCGGACCATAAATGCGACCTGTATATTGTTTACAATTTAACATGGACAGACAGACGGACGGACATGCATAAATCGACTCAGAAAGTGATTCTATGCATATTCTCAAAAGGATCCATGGGTGTATCTCGATTCCTTTTGCCTGTTACAAACATATGCACAAAGACATAATACCCTGTACCACAGTGTGGTGAAGGGTATAAATATTGAACAACTAGCTCAGGGTAAAGCCATTGAAATTCCAAAAAGTGCAAAAACTTACGAAAAAAGACTCAAAAGAACTAAAGAGTTGCTTCGCTTGGCCGAAAGTGGTGAACTGCCGAATTTGGTTTGGCAGTTTGTAAACAAACAAAATGATCGTGTTTACTTGGCCACCAGAACTCAAGCGCCGGCCATGGTGATGGTGTAGGCCGCCATAACAGCCGATGGTCGCTCTCTGCTCGTATTAATCGACCGTGGCATCATTAAAGCCTTGGACACGCAAACAATTTGGCCGGAGACCTTGGACATTCCAACTGGACTCAGCACGCGCCTCCCAAGAATGGTTACAAAATGAGGTTCCTCGCTTTATTTTTCAGCGCACAATGGCCACCAAAATCTCCGGATACCAATCCGTTGTTCTATTGTATCTGGAGTATTTTGGAAAGCATTGTTGCCACTAAAATATATATTACATATATATTTTCGTCCGATTTCATGTAAATTGTGTACCAAAGTCCCTATATATCTTTCGATTGCACGAAATTTGGCATAGCGTACTGAATTGAGTCTAAAACCAGTGAGCGGAGCAGTATAGTCGGACGGGGCCGACCATATGATACCCTACACAACTTCCATGAAAATCTAACTTTCGGTGGTACTATATTCTGAGCTTGGGCAATATTTTGCGATATTTGCTCCCTCCTATAATTATTTGTCCAGATTCCCTTCACCGTGGGTTGTGTTGTGATGTTCGGCTTTCAATTGCGGACTATAAATCGACTCGAAAAAAATACAAAAATAAGTTTTCAGTTCACTTCATCCCAAAATTATTATCTGATCATCATCGAAAATTATAGGCGTTGTCCTTCATCATAACTGAAACCTCATGGAACATTTAAAAGTCATCTGCGCTATATTTCCGCCTTCCAGTGTGGTAAAGGTTTACTAAATAATATCTCAGTACGTAAGCACCTGTAAATATTTAAGTGTAACTCCCACATCTGAGTTCATACGACCATATAAATAGTATCAATTTAAAGGTCAACCATTCCTCTTGGATATGCTATCAACTTCTTGGGTCTTTGTTCTTCAGGGGTAAATATATACGCTATAGAATATAAATTTTGTAATTTTTCACACAAAAGTTAGGGTCCATTTGACCCGCTAAATATTGACCGATCTTTATCAAAACATTCATGCTGATTATCTGGCCCGATCCAATTCTCCATGCAAAAATTCGCGGTGATTGGGCCTAATTGCAGCCTCTGGAGCGACCAGAAAAACCGACAAAAATAAAGTTTTTGGTCCATTTCATCCCCTAAATATTAACCGATCTTTTCCAAAAACAATATGGGTCTTCATTGGCCAGAACCCATCCTACATGCAAAATTTCGTGAAGATTGGTTCATAACTGTTTCCTGTATCGTGTTTACAAATTATAATGGACAGACAGACGGACGGACGGACACACATGTCTAGATCGACTCAGCTAGTTGAGATATGACGATCGGTATACTTAAAGGTGGGTCGAGGATAAATATTTCGTGGCGTTACAAACTCTTGGGGCTGAACAAAGCTATAATACCCTGACAACATAGTTGTTTAGGGTATAATTATGTGTGTAAAATTTCTTGAAAATCGGTTGAGATTTAGATATAGCTCCCATACATATTTTTGTCCGATTTCACGTAAATGGTGTACCAAAGTCCCTATATATCTTCCGATCTGCACGAAATTTGGCATAACGTACTGAATTGAGTCTAGAATGATGTGTTTCGTCCGATTTTAAGTGGGACCCAAGGACCCAAAATATGTCCATTAGGAACAAAACGTGCATAAATTAGTCTAAGTTAGTCTGTAATTTCCATATCTATTTTCATCCTATTTTAAGTAAATGGTGCACCAAACTCTTCAGGTTTTTCAGAATAGAATGACGTAATTGCGTGTTAATTGGGCTCTAAATATTCAACGGGTGCTCGATTGATAATTGCTTTAAATCGGTTTACATAATTTGGTCCCATTGTAACAAACGAATGACATGTTTATGGATAGATCTGGGTAGATTCACATTTTGATAAATATCACATATTTTATTTCATCCAGTTTCATGTTAATAGTCCTTTTTAATATACCCATAGTGGTGAAGGGTATCATATTGTCGGCCCACTCCGAATTTACTACCTTCCTTACTGGTTTCATTTATAAAAGTGAAATTTTACACATATTTTTTTCAAATGTTGAACAGACTTTTTATTATGTTGTCAGGGTATTATAGCTTTGTGCAGCACCAAATGTTTGTAACGCCGCGAAATATTGGTCCTAGACCCACCTTTAAGTATACCGATCGTCATATCTCGACTAGCTGAGTCGATCTTGACATGTGTGTCCGTCCGTCCGTCCGTCTGTCCATTATAATTTGTAAACACGATACAGGCCACAGTTATGGACCAATCTTCGCGAAACTTTGCATGTAGGATGGGCTCTGGCCAATGAAGAGCCCTATTTGGGAAAGATCGGTTAATATTTAGGGGATGAAATGGACCAAATACTAAATTTTTTCGGTTTTTCTGGTCGCTCCAGAGACCGCAGTTATAGTCCGAACATCGTGAAATTTTGCATGGAGAAGAGGATCGGGCCAAAGAATAAGCATGCCTGTTTTGATAAAGATTGGTCAATATTTAGCGGGTCAAATGGACCCTGAATTTTGTGTGAAAAATTACAAAATTTGTATTCTATAGCGTATATATTTACCCCTGAAGGACATAGAACCGAGAAGTTGATATTATATCGAAGAGAAGTGGTTGATCTTTAAATTAATACCAATTATATTGTTGTATGTGCTCGGATGTGGGAGTTACACCTAAATATTTACAGGTATCTCCGTATTCGTATATTATTTAGTAACCCATTATCACTCTAGAGAGCGGAACTATAGCGCTGATAGCTTTGAAATGTTTCATGAAGTTCCAGGTATGGTCAAGAACAACGCCTATAAATTTCGGTGATGATCAGATAATAATTTTGGAATGAAGTGGACCGAAAACTTAATTTTTTGTGTTATTTTCGAGTCGATCTAGAGACCACAAATGAAAGCCGAACAACACAACACAACCCACGGTGAAGGGAATCTGTACAATAGCTGTACTGAATACTCGTAATATTCGGAAAATATGCCAGTGTGAGGAAGAGGTGCTGTTTACCTTTAATCGGACAAGAGGGTGCAAATATCACGAAATATTGCCCAGACTCGGAATAAACTACCGCAGAAAATTTGAGTTCCGTGGTAGTTGTGTAGGGTATCGTATGGTCGGCCCCGTCCGACTATACTGCTCCGCTCACTGCTTTTTTTTTAACAGTACGCCTTAACATTTTGCCTGCAGTAAGTCCCATTGTACGAAAAAGACTCTAAGTCTGGCAGAATAAAATGAAATTTAGCATAGTCGGTTCGTCGGTTCACATATAGATGAATATCACATATTTAAATTCGTTCAATTTCATGTCAATGTTTCTCGAAAAAGTGGCATCTGATAGGAAAAAATATTTAGAGTATACCAAAGAGGTGAAGGGTATCATATAGTCGGCCCACTCCGAATTTACTACCTTCCTTACTGGTTTCATTTATAAAAGTGCAATTTTACACATATTTTTTTTCAAATGTTGAAAAAGCGTATTTTAATGTATTTTTTAAGCAATTTTATTTTTTTCCAAACACAGCATTTTTCTCGTACATTTCAAACAAATATTAACAATTATACTGAAAACTAAAACTACCACAAACAGCGTTATGACGAAAAACATGATAACATCGATATTATAAAATTGCCACGTATTCAGATTGTGCCCCAAATGGACGAGATGTGGGGCTCCGCTATGCCTCAAAACATATTCTATCCAATAAATTGCCGTCTGCATTGGTGTAGTCTGTCTGTCACGGAATTGAAATGATTTTAGTTTTGCCAATTTCATATATTTTTCATTTTGCACAAGTTCAACTATGGCCTTATAGATTTCTTGGTCATGCAATGATTTTGCTGAAATTTTCAATGAAATTCCAGTACGGATTTTTTCCACAAAATTAAACATTTCACCAGTTGCAATGTGAGAACTTTTTAGACCCAAAATCGGTATGCCATAGTGAATACTTTCGACAACACTTAAGTAACTACCGTGAGATATAAGTAATTTACAATTTGGATGGCTGAGAATACCGTGGTGCGATAAATTCCTAAAGAAATATACATTGCCGGGTACGCGCAATACTGCGGATGGATATTGCGGGGTATTCCATAATATCATGGGTTTCATCATGCCAAATTGATTCAAAACAATCTGCATCACATTATCTGGGAAATGTTCGGCCAAGGCAACATATATGAAACCTCCTTGGGTTTGAAGCATTGTCAGAATGTCTATGGGCAAGGGTTCCGGTACCTCGGGAATATGTAACCCGGCAACTTCAATCATATTTGGTACGTACGGCTTGGGTGTACTTATGGTGTGATGATCATTCAATAGAACCAATGATATATTCTTTTGCACCTGTTCCACAGTTTTAGTGGCATTTGGAAAACGAGATTGATAATATTTCTTGTTCATTGGCATAAATTCGTAATCATGAAACACTGTGGCAAGCACACACAGCACCACATTTAAAGATCTCTCCAAAAAGCTCATATTTTCATCGTAACGATGGGCCATCATTAGACTCGGCACATACGAGAGAGGTGCAGAGTTTCGAAATAGACTATCTAGAGGGGAACTTGACCCGATGGTGGAAATGCCCACAATTGGTGCATTAAAATGTTGAGCTAGTCCATATAGCGATTCGGAGAACATTGAATTCCACAAAACCAAATCGAATGATTCGCTTTCCATCAGATCTCGTATTAAAGCATTGTGGAGAATATTGTCACACATTTGAAATCCAAGATTAAACATTGCGCCCGTGGTATTGAAATGGTCCAAACCAATTTCTTTACTTATTCCACGAGTTACATCTGTATAACAAGAAAATATATATTTTTTGTAAATATCATTTGTTTATCATACCACTGTGCAACTTACTTCTATTGAACTTAAAATTCTCTTCTATTGCAATCGAACGCAAATTTTTTACCTCTGCAGTTTGTGGAAAATTTGTAATGGACGTTACAGAATGGCCACGCTCAGCCAACTTAAGTAGAAGCGGTTCAAGAAATGCATATTGTGCTGGACCTTCAAAACCAAATATAGACAATATGCGAGCCGTTTGGCCCGCTTGTTTACCAATGAATATCAAAAATGCCACTAAACCTATAGTGAAGCGCATTTTTAGTTCAACTGAGCGATAATCGAAATCAATTTGAACATGTGTGTTTATCTACCGGCATTGTTGTTCACCGATAAGGTTCAAAATCAATAAACCACTAACGTATTAAATATATTGTTGTAATTGTTGTTGTTGTTTTTTAATGTTTTTAGATAAAGTCAAAAATTGAAATTACAATTTTTTTATTAAATGGTCCCAGCATGGAGGCACACATACGGTTACTACCTTTAATGATACTAAAGTAATTAAAGAGGAAAATTACCATTTATACCCTACAGTACAGGGTGGTAGAGCCCGACTTGTTGTTCCTCGAGTCGATTTATGCATGTCCGTCCGTCTGTAGATATAAAATTGTAGACAAATCACAGGACGAATTTATACAAGAGATGTCTGGTTTCATAATTTTTGGAATCGAATCGTTACAAAAATCGGTTTTATCTGAAAATCCGATTCCAAAAATTTGTGGATCCGGACTTGTTTTCCGTGTATAGATATATACAACTACACTTAAACAATCAGTTAACGGAATACATACCTCCTAGTTAATATGCCGATAACGGTATAATGTTCTTTCCAATTAGACTTCGAAATATTTCGAATTCCCATATCTGAAAAAAGACATAAAATATTTATTGAATTATTGATTTGAAGCATTATCGAATCGCAACGGATGCATCTAAATGACGATGTGTAATGTGAGGGGTATTTTGATATACCCTTCACCACACTGTGGTACAAGGTATTATGTGTTTGTGCATATGTCTTGTAACAGGCAAACGAGATAGACACATGGTTACTTTTGAGGATATGCATCGAATCACATTCAGAGTCGATATATGCATTCCGTCCATCCGTCTGTCTGTATATTAAATTGTACAGGTCGCATATATGATCCGAATTGGATGAAATTTGCCACAGTGACGAACCCTATTGACATTAGGGAAAATCGGTTCAGATTTATATATATATATATATATATATATTTTCATCCGATTCAAGGTAAATGATGTACCAAATTCCCTATATATCTTTCGATATGCACGAAAGGACCTATCGGAGCCCTTCAATACCGAACGAGGATTCAGACAAGGTGACAGTTTGTCGTGTGATCTTTTTAACATCCTACTGGAAAAGGTCATACGAGACGCAAAGGTGAACAGAAATGGCACTCTGTACACCAAACAACAGTAAACGGCAGTAAACGGCGAGAAGACCAAGCTGATGGTATCAGCGCGCAAGACGTCCAGTAGACTCGGACCAACTGTGGAACTTGGGAACTACAGCTTCGAGGTAGTTAACACTAGATTGCCGAAGGCGGTCATTTGACCCCTCTTCAATTTCAAGTACAAAAACAAATGTGCATATAATGACATTTTTTTTAAAAATTTGGTGACTTTTTTAAAGCAAACGTAATTCTATGTGTTACAAAAAGTCACCAAATTTTTTAAAAAAAATGTCATTATATGCACATTTGTTTTTGTACTTGAAATTGAAGAGGGGTTAAAATGACCGCCTTCGGCAATCTAGTGTTAAAGACTTTATATACCTTGGTACCGCCATAAATAAAACAAATGACATCAGTTTTGAAATTCGGAGAAGGATTGTGATGGCCGACAGATGCTACTATGGTCTAAGTAAGCAGTTTAGGAACAAGGCCACCTCCCGCCAGACCAAACTCACACTTTACAAGACGCTGATACTACCCGTGCTATTATATGGATCAGAAGCATGGGTATTTGCGCAAGCAGATGAGGCAGCTCTTGGGGTGTTTGAGAGAAAAATTCTCCGAAAGATCTACGGGCCGATCTGCGTCGACCGTGAATATCGACGTCGAATGAACCATGAGCTTTACAATTTATACGCGGACATCGACATAGTCAGTCGTATTGAGCTGCAGCGACTACGGTGGCTAGGCCATGTTGTGCGGATGAATGAATATGCCCCAGCTCAAATGGCATATAAAAATGAGCCTACTGATGGTTCCCGCAGAAGGGGAAGGCCACGAATTAGATGGAAAGACCAAGTAGAAAACAACATCTTGGAACGTGGTCTTCCAAATTGGTGGACTTGCGCACAAGACTTACGCGCTTGGAAATCTTTTTTAAGTTCGGCTTATGGAACAACCGTTCTGAAACAAGCCAGCTAAGTATGTAAATAATGCACGAAATTTGGTACAGCGTATTCAATTAAGTCTAGAATGAGGTGTGTTAATTTTCGTGAAAATCGGTTCAGATATCGATCCCATATATATTTTCGTCCGATTTAATGTAAATTGTGTACCAAAGTCTGTCGCCTTGCTGGAGGTTGCAAAATATATTCTTTTAAAAATCCACGCCTTGCTGGAAGTTGCAAAATATATTCTTTTAAAAATCCACGCCTTGCTGGAGGTTGCAAAATATATTCTTTTAAAAATCCACGCCTTGCTGGAGGTTGCAAAATATATTCTTTTAAAAATCCACGCCTTGCTGGAGGTTGCAAAATATATTCTTTTAAAAATCCACGCCTTGCTGGAGGTTGCAAAATATATTCTTTTAAAAATCCACGCCTTGCTGGAGGTTGCAAAATATATTCTTTTAAAAATCCACGCCTTGCTGGAGGTTGCAAAATATATTCTTTTAAAAATCCACGCCTTGCTGGAGGTTGCAAAATATATTCTTTTAAAAATCCACGCCTTGCTGGAGGTTGCAAAATATATTCTTTTAAAAATCCACGCCTTGCTGGAGGTTGCAAAATATATTCTTTTAAAAATCCACGCCTTGCTGGAGGTTGCAAAATATATTCTTTTAAAAATCCACGCCTTGCTGGAGGTTGCAAAATATATTCTTTTAAAAATCCACGCCTTGCTGGAGGTTGCAAAATATATTCTTTTAAAAATCCACGCCTTGCTGGAGGTTGCAAAATATATTCTTTTAAAAATCCACGCCTTGCTGGAGGTTGCAAAATATATTCTTTTAAAAATCCACGCCTTGCTGGAGGTTGCAAAATATATTCTTTTAAAAATCCACGCCTTGCTGGAGGTTGCAAAATATATTCTTTTAAAAATCCACGCCTTGCTGGAGGTTGCAAAATATATTCTTCAAAAATCCACGGCATGTTGGAGGTTCCAAAAAATATTCTTTTAAAAATCCACGCCTTGCTGGAGGTTGCAAAATATATTCTTTTAAAAATCCACACCTTGCTGGAGGTTGCAAAATATATTCTTCAAAAATCCACGGCATGTTGGAGGTTCCAAAAAAAAATTCTTTTTAAAATCCACGCCTTGCTGGACGTTGCAAAATATATTCTTTTAAAAATCCACGCCTTGTTGGAGGTTCCAAAAAATATTCTTTTAGAAATCCACGGCATGTTGGAGGTTCCAAAAAATATTCTTTTAAAAATCTACGCATTGATGGAGGTTGCAAAATATATTCTTCAAAAATCCACGGCATGTTGGAGGTTCCAAAAAATATTCTTCAAAAATCCACTGCATGTTGGAGGTTTCAAAAAACATTCTTCAAAAATCCACGGCATGTTGGAGGTTCCAAAAAATATTCTTCAAAAATCCACGGCATGTTTGAGGTTCCAAAAAACATTCTTCAAAAATCCACGGCATGTTGGAGGTTCCAAAAAATATTCTTCAAAAATCCACGGCATGTTGGAGGTTCCAAAAAATATTCTTCAAAAATCCACGGCATGTTGGAGGTTCCAAAAAATATTCTTTAAAAAATCCACGCCATGTTGGAGGTTAAAAAAAAAGTTCTTTTAAAAATCCACGCCTTGTTGGAGGTTCCAAAAATATATTCTTTTAAAAATCCACAGGTTGCAAAATATATTCTTTAAAAAATCCGCGCCTTGCTGGAGGTTGCAAAATATATTCTTTTAAAAATCCACGCCTTGGTGGAGGTTCCAAAAAATATTCTTTTAAAAATCCTCGCCTTGTTGGAGGTTCCAAAAAATATTCTCTTCCTTTCAAGCGTAAAATAAACACCCTTTATTCAATCGTGCTCAAGAAGAAAAGACACAAGACAAATGTCTTGAAATTGTTCACATCGAATAATTTCAGACAACAACAGCAATAACAACGAAATAAAACCGTCGATAATAGAGATCGAATATATTTTGATCTTTTCTTGCATTGATAATGGATGGATATAAAAAAACAACTACAAGAGAAACAACAATAATCGAACATAAAAATATGAAACGTAATCTCAAGGCAATTCAAATCGCAAAGCAGTAGTCATCGTGGGCTGGACACAACAGAATCAAAAAAAAAAAAAAAAAAAAAAAAAAATCTACAATCCTTGGCCCTAGCCTTAGCCCTTTTATTCTTGTTGTTTGGTTTTTGTTTTCATTGGTCCAAAAAAATAAAATGCATAAAGAAAAAGGGTGCGTTTAGCTATAATTATGGATTCCAGTGTTATGCAGGCAGTTCAATTCTTTTCATAATTTCAAGCGAACTACAAAAACAACAACAAAAGAAAAAACATTTAAATGAAAATTATTAAAACGAAATACAGCATCAGCGTCATTATTATCATTATGAAGATTGCTTTAATGCTGGTGGTTAATTCACTTTTGTTTTTTGTCTTTTCTCCATTACTTTTTTCGGGGTTTTTAAGGCGTGTCCATGGGCCACCGAAGGTGATAGAGATGAAATGAGAAAAGAATACCAAAGGATGTGATGTGAAAACGAAACAAAAACAATCAAATTCATCTTCATTTGCATAATGAATGACAGTTAAACACAATTTAATCGTTTCGTTTGATGTTCGATGCTTGATGTGTTGCGAGTAGTTTGATTGATTTATCAATTGCCGTATTTTATTATGTCGGAATTATCGATAAAGTTATTATTATTTTTTATAAACGACGATGAATACAAGATTTGACACATACGTTTCTGCTACCCCTCGGATGTTTGTTACTGCGAATGGGATATATAGGTTCACATCTTTGTGTGCCCAGCCCAATTTTTGGATTTCTGACACGTTTTGCAACAGAATTGTCTCTAATTTAAT